AAATATATAATTTTCGTAATTTTATACATAAAATTATGAAAATTATATATTTAAAATATTCATAACGATATTAGTAAATTATTATTAAAAATTCTAATATAAACTTATATGAATTTGTTAAACAACACGTAATAAATACTCCCTCCGTCCCCGATTGATAGTCACTTTTGAAGAAAAATCACGGGAATTAAGGAGAATTAAAGAAAGTACATTGAAAAAGTAAATTTACATTGGGTATGAAAAAAAAGTATAAAGAGAAAGTAATTAAAGTACATGAGAAAGTAAAATTTACATGGAAAAGTTAAATTTGCACAAATATTTTTGCAAATATTAGAGAATTTTGATAAAAAAAAAAAATAATATTAATGGTACTTGAAAAAACAAATGTGAGTAACATTTTGAGTCACAAAAAATGACAAAAGTTGTTAGGGCCTATTGTGTGTATAGTGTATAGTTATCGGGCCTATCTCATGTGTCCTATTCTATTTTGTATATATACCCTTGCTATACTTTAATGAAAACTACGGAATTATTTTCGTGACATGGTATCGGAGCCTAAATTACTCTAACCCTAACACTCTAATTTTTTTTTCCTAATCTCTAATTCTCTATTGATCGACAATGGTGGATGGATCCAAAATCGATCCCTCTTCTCCATTTTTTCTTGGCGTCGGTGATCAACCGGGGAATTCAATCACTCATGTCGTTTTGAAGGGTGAAAATTACCTTGCTTGGTCTCGGGCTATCACTTTATCATTGAAATCTAGGAGGAAATATGGTTTCATTGATGGAACAATCTCTAAACCTATTGAGAAAAAGAAAATGCTAGATTGGGAGACTGTCAACTCGATGTTGGTTTCCTGGATATTGCGTGTTGTTGAACCTAGACTTGCGGCATCCTTTCCATATTTTGAAGAAGCCAGAAAACTCTGGGAATACTTGGAGAAGAGATTATGTGAAGCAAACGGTCCTCGTCTTCAACAACTCCGGGCTGCTATTACCGGCTGCAAGCAGTCCAAATCCATGGGCATCGAGGATTATTATGCTTTGCTTATGGGGCTTTTTGATGATTTGAATCGTCTCAAACCTCCTCATGGTTGTGAATGCGGCAATTGCACTTGCAATGTGGCTGAAAAATATGAACTTGATAAGGAAGAAGAAAAATTGCACCAATTTCTAATTGGTGTAGATGATGATAAATTTGCGGCAGTGAGGACCAATTTATTGTCTCAACAGCCTCCTCCGACTCTCGATCGCGCCTATCAAGCGTTTCTTCAAGAGGAACGCTCCCGTGGTATTGCTCAAAGCAAGGAGAAGGATGCCGCACATGTGTTTGCTTTGTCTTCTGAACGGAGGATTTTTCAATCAACACCGAAGGTAGATAAGTCGAAGCTCTTTTGTTCTCATTGCAAGCGTCAAGGACACGACACTACGGGCTGGAGCCTGATTGGAGCCGGTGAACGGATAGATGGACTATACTACTTTCGGCGGGTTCCTAAAGTGTGTGCAGTGACAGATCCGGAAATTTCTTCATTTGATCTCTGGCATCGTCGTATGGGGCATCCGTCGGACAAAATTGTCAAGTTAGTTCCTGCTTTAAGTGCTAGTTCTAGTCGCAAATTTTTAAATAAACCTTGTGAAATTTTTCCACAAGCTAAACAGTCTCGGGATAGTTTTCCCGATAGTGATAGTAGAGCTAGCCGTATTTTTGAGATGATACATTGTGATTTGTGGGGGTCTTATAAGACACCGTCTACTTGTGGTGCTCACTATTTTTTTGACAATTGTCGATGATTTTTCCCGTGGTGTTTGGGTTTATTTATTGAATGACAAAACTGAAGTTTATTCTTCTTTTTTCTCTTTCTTTGATATGGTTAAATGTCAATTTGATGTCAATATTAAATGTGTGCGGAGTGACAATGGCACCGAATTTAAACACATGATCCCCTACTTTAATGACAATGGAATTCTTTTTCAAACCTCTTGTGTTGGTACACCTCAACAAAATGGTCGGGTAGAGCGTAAACACCAACATATTTTAAATGTGAGTCGTGCATTGATGTTTCAAGGGAATTTGCCGATTTCTTTTTGGGGTGAGTGTGTGCTTGGGGCGGTTTATCTCATTAATCGTACTCCCTCCGCTTTACTAGCAAATCAAACTCCTTTTGAACTTCTCTTTGGAAAACCACCAAATTTTGACGAGTTGCGGGTGTTTGGGTGTTTGTGCTTCGCCCATAATAAAAAAGCCAAGAATGATAAGTTTGCCCCTCGAAGTCGGAAATGTGTGTTTGTGGGTTACCCTCATGGAAAGAAAGGTTGGAAATTATACGATTTAGAAACCGGTGATATTTTTGTTTCGCGTGATGTCAAGTTTCATGAGAATGTTTTTCCCTATATGTCTAAGAAGGACTCGAGTGATACTATTGTGGGGTGTGATACTAATGTGGGGTGTGATGGAGTGTCATCGTCAAATATTGGGGTTGATAGTGATTTTTTAGATGATTTAGAGTACGTGTTGGAGGTTGTTGAGGACTCTCTCATGCCTGAAATTGTTGTTGCCCCAGCCCACGGTCTTTCCCCTGCTCACGACACTCCTGTGGTGTCGCCTGTCCAGCCTGCTGCTCAAGGCAGCCTTGATCGCAGCACTGCCACGGCAGGCGGTGCTGACTGCGTCTCCTCCGCGGTGCAGCCTGCTGCTGCCACTTCTGTCGGTTCGGACAGCCTTGACATGGCTTCTCCGGACCCCTCTCCTTCCTCTACTCTTGTGTTGGACCGTGCACAACGTCCACGCCAAGCCCCAAGATGGCACCGGGATTATGTAGCACACACTATCTCTCTGTCTAGTCCATCTATCTCTCCTTGTTCAGCGCCTACTCCATGCTCCTCAAGTACTCCCTATCCTTTAGCACATTTTGTGAATTGTGATAAATTTTCTGTGCAACACCGTGTATTTATTGCAGCTGTTGATACGGTGGTTGAGCCTCGTAATTTCAAGGAGGCAATGCAACATGAGGGGTGGAAAGAGGCAATGCAAAAAGAAATTGATGCATTGGAAAATAATGGAACATGGGTAATGGAAAAATTACCTCCGGGCAAGAAAGCTCTTGGGTGCAGATGGGTTTACAAAGTTAAGCTTAATTCCGATGGCACACTCGAGCGATTGAAGGCTCGTCTTGTTATATTTGGTAATCATTAGGTTGAGGGTATTGATTACAACGAGACGTTTGCTCCCGTTGCTAAAATGGTCACTGTTAGGGTTTTTCTTGCTGTCGCTGCTGCAAAGAATTGGGAATTGCATCAGATGGATGTTCACAATGCATTTCTACATGGTGATCTTGATGAGGAAGTTTATATGAAACTTCCCCCTGGGTTTTATGGTTCTCAATCTGGTTTGGTGTGTCGTCTTCTGAAGTCGTTGTATGGTCTTCGACAAGCACCTCATTGTTGGTACTCTAAATTGGCCGCCTCTCTGAAAAGGTACGGATTTGTGCAATCGTACGCTGACTATTCTCTTTTTACTCTGCAATCTGGGTCTATTCAACTTAGTGTTCTAGTATATGTTGATGATTTGATAATTTCTGGTAATGATTCTTCTGCGATTTTGACATTCAAATCATACTTAAGTGACTGTTTTCATATGAAAGATTTGGGTGTTTTGAAGTATTTTCTTGGTGTTGAGGTTGCTCGTAGTCCGGAAGGCATATTCTTATGCCAACGGAAATATACGCTTGACATCATTGCGGAGTCTGGTTTGCTAGGTGCTCGTCCGGCAGGTACTCTTATTGAGCAAAATCATACTCTGGCGAAATCAGAGTCCTCTTTCTTTTCTGATCCAGAGCAGTATCGACGGCTTGTGGGTCGTTTGATTTATTTGTCTTTTACTAGACCAGATTTGGCATACGCGGTGCATATTTTATCTCAATTTATGCAACACCCGCAGCAGGATCATTGGGAAGCGGCACTTCGTACAATACGATACTTGAAGGGATGTCCAGGTCAGGGTATTCTTTTGCGTTCAGAGTGTGATTTACATATTACCGGTTGGTGTGATTCAGATTGGGCAGGTTGTCCCTTGTCGCGCCGTTCTATTTCTGGTTGGTTGGTGTTTCTTGGTGCTTCTCCTATATCTTGGAAGACTAAGAAATAGGACACTGTGGCCAAGTCTTCTTCAGAGGCCGAATTCCGTTCAATGTCTAAAACTACTGATGAGTTGAAATGGTTGAAGGCCCTTCTTCTGAGTTTGGGTGTTTCACATCCCCGTATTATGAGTATGTTTTGTGATAATCATTCTGCGTTGTATATTGCGAAGAATCCGGTTTTCCATGAGTGTACTAAGCACATTGAGGTGGATTGTTATTATCTTCGTGATGCGATTCAGGATGGTATCATTAGTCCGTCGTATGTGAACAACATATCAATTAGCGGATATATTCACTAAGGCTTTGAGTAAAAGTCAATTCATGTATTTACTTGGCAAGTTGGGCATTTGTGATTTGCATGCTCCAACTTGAGGGGGGGTGTTAGGGCCTATTGTGTGTATAGTGTATAGTTATCGGGCCTATCTCATGTGCCCTATTCTATTTTGTATATATACCCTTGCTATACTTTAATGAAAACTACGGAATTATTTTTGTGACAAAAGTGACTATCAATCGGAGACGGGGAGAGTATGCGAAGAAAAAAAAAAAAAAAAAAGAACCTTAATGTCTGAGCCCGACATCAACTTTTTGTTAAGAGTTGCAATTTTAATTTTAAAGTTTTGATAAGGTTAAGAGTTGCAATATTTATCACACTAGCAACTATTCAACTTTAATTTAACAACAACAACAACAAATTACGTGTTAGTATAAAAGAACATAAAGTATTATTTATTATATGAAACAAATATGGCAACTTGCCTCAAAAAAAAAAAAAAAAAAAAAAAAAAAAAGATGGCAACATTCATTCAGTCCGGCAGTCCGCACATGGACTTCGGCCCAGTTAAAGTACAAAGACAAAGATGATCAAGGCTACGCACGTGGGCCTTATCTATTATTTCAGGAATAATACACTCGACAGTCGTAGCATACAACCACGTGGCCCAGTACAAGAGAGCCAGAGTAAGCTACCTCATAACTTAGGCAATTTGAGCTTTTACCCGTGGCATTTTTTTTTTTTAATTTATAAAATATAATTTTTTACAACGATTTAAATTAAAATAATAGTATTACAAACTAAGAGCCTTACAACTTCCTCTATTACAACCATAATAATATTAAAATAAAGAACATCTACATTTGATCTTGCTGGTTTGAATAATTTGTCATTTTCCTTTGAGCATGCGATGAGAAACACACTATTCTATTTATGTATTCCACTTTCCTTTAAACTTGGAGAATGCATTTGAGGACGACTAACAAACAAATCCTGACAAATATATTAACGAGCTGATAAGGACACCAAGTGCCTAAACGACCTATAACATTAAGTAAATGGAGCAGGAAAACAGGCGGTTAGGGCTTAACAACACACACCGAATCCCCCATTTAAGTGATTCAATATTCTACACTGTGGGTACCATTGTACCATTGATCTCAAGGAAAGAAACCATTAACATACTATAAACCTCCAAAATATCATTTTGGAGGACCCTAAACATTTCATTTTAGGGAGCGGTGTTAAGATAGGTATTTTTCAAAGTAATAGATTGAAAATCCACTACTAAGTTGAAACAAAGGACATCAAGGGATAACCTTCCAAAACTTTTCCAACTGAGAATATTGAAAGAGGAAATAACAAACAAATGACAAACCCTAACCAACCCTAAGAACTGAACCATACCATAACAATGGCGAATTCCCCACAAAACCAAAACTCGCATATCCAAAATCCTAAACAGGATCAGGTTACACCCCTTAAAATCCCCAAATAAACTTAATAAACCACAATTAGAACATAGAGAGTTGCATCTCATAGCATCAAACTTAGAGCAAAGACCCATCAAAGCAAGGATAACTATAATTAAACCGAGAAAAACAAATAAAGCCATTAAACAAGCAACAAAACAACCAACTATCACTGGCCTCCGATTACACGCTTACAACCTTTACCGTGAAGGTCAAACTTGACTAATATCACCGGCGAAAAGATAACCAAGAGACGACGCAAACTTGGTAATTATTTCACAAAACAGAAAAAGGGTGGAGGAAAAGAAAGGAACGAGAATAAAGGCCATTGCAAGAAAACTAACAAACCATAAACCTAACTTTACCTTTACTAATTTGATCTTTCCAATCACACATAGTCGGTGACGTTAGAGCTAGCTGTTGAATCTTGTTTCGTCAACGAAACCTTAAACCAAATTGAAAAAACGTCTTTTTATCCTCCAGTACCCAAATCACAAACTTGAACTTTAAAACTAGAAAACTTAGAAAACCCACTTGAGAACTTCTCCAGCGAGAAGAGGTTAGCACTAAGCGGAGTTTGAAGCCCGTTGTGGAGCTTGGTTCCGCTTCAACTTCAATACTAGAACACGAGCAAAAGAAAAAGCTTAAAACATGGAAGAGGAATTCGCCAGAGAACCGGTCGCGGCGCCGGAACTCCGGTGAGTTCTAGGTTTCAGTGGGTTTTCTTTTTCAGAGGAGAGAGAACAGAGCATTTAGACGAGAGAGAACGCACTTTTCAATTTTATTCGTCAATTCTTTTGATTGAGTCGATCTTTTAATTAGTTTAGGCTTTTACACGTGGAAAATTTAGCAAGGTATGAGTTGACACTACAAAAAAAAATCAATATAGCATCAACTAAAATTTGTTGCTATTCACCAAAAATCCGTTGCCAACTCTATTTAGCAACGGGTTGGAAACAAAAATTTGTTGTTGCTAAAAGGCTTGTTGCCATGGAATTTTGGAAACCAGTTGCAAAGCAATTTTGTTGCAATATTGCATCAATTTAAATATAGCTTCCATGATTGTTGCTGTTTTTGGTACATTCGTTGCCAACTTTGGCTGCTATCAACACTACGAGACAAAAACCCAATCCCTATTAGCAATTCGGTCTTTACCAATCTGAAATCTCACTCAGGTTAGGTCAACTCGGCTCGACTTTGTATATAAGGCTCTTTGAATCCCCAGTCTCAAGAATCGCATTTGGTAGGAGTCGAACTTGCGACCTCAAAGTCAGATGGTGAATCTCTTACCAACTATACCAAGTACTATTTGTTTACTTCTATGCATATAATTTATAATAAGTGAACAAAATATTAGAGACGAAATTGAAAAATTTGTCTCCAAATTAGGGACAAAATAAAAAAAATCCGTCTCTAAATTAGAGACGAAATTGAAATCCGTCTCTATTTGATGTCATTTTAGCAACAAATAATTTTATACATTACAGCAAAAAGTGGCTTACGTATAAATTAACAACAATATGTAACACAACTCGTTTCCAATGGAAACAAACAAAATAATGCGTTATCAATTAGCAACAATAATTTAGAAGACTTGTTTCTAATGGAAACAATTCAAAAATTCATTGTATTTGTTTGTTTCTAAATCAATACAAATAAAATATTTGTTGTCATAGTTTGTTACTATTTGGCAACAAGAGAAAAATATGATGTCGTCTAGTAACAACTAGTAAGACAATTTGTTTTAAAAAGCAACAAATCAAAAATATGTAGCCATTGTTTATTAAAAGCAAAAGCATAAAATGTCGCTTTTAATTAGGCAATGAAAAAATTTAGATTCGTTGCTATTTAACAACATTTTAAAAATCTGTTGCCAAACTTAGTTGCTAAAAAGCTTTTATTTTTGTAGTGTGATAGAGTATAAAACCTATTTTTGAGTTTTATCTGTTAATTCTTTTTATTGAGTCGATCTTTTAATTAGTTTAGGCTTTTACACATGGCAAATATAGTAAAACATGGGGTGATAGAGTACATAACCTATTTGGAGTATCATATATTAATTCTTTTGACTGAGTCGATTGGGCTTTTACACATGACAATTTTGTAAGGTTTGAGGTAATAGAATATAAAACTTACTTATTCTTTGCTCAAACAACGCTCGAATATTCACAAAATCAATGGAAAACAGATTATATTTATATACTACTATAAGTTTGTATTTGTTTATAGATTTTGTACATATAATATTTTATTTATTTAAAGTTGTTACTGTTCTATTATTTAGGCTATATAACTTCTTATTTTTTTATTATCAGTTATGTTATAATTTTTGTAAGAATTTTTTGGCGGGAATTTTTTTAATGTGGATACAACACGCGTACTTCTGGGATAATTCTGGTGTTTACTTTAGTATATGGTATTGATTTCTAAGAATTTGTCTTCAATTCATTCTTTTGACCGAATCAATCTTTTGGTAAGTTTCGGCTTTTAACGCGGCAAATTTACAAGGTCTGACGTGATAGAGTATAAATATAAAACCTATTTTCTAGTCTCAAACATCAATTCTTTTGATTAAGTCGGTTATTTAATATGATATCATGGTAGGGGGGGGGGGGGAGGGGGTGTGATCAATATGGTGTAAATTAATTATATTCCTTGATCTCGACAACGAACCAACTTATTTTAAATTTTTAAATTGGTTAATTAATCTGATCTCTTGACATGATGATTGCTTGCTTGCTACTCCCTTTGTCTCTATTTTTTTGCCCCATTGGACTTTACACGGTATTCAAGTTAATGCACGTCTTACAACGTTTATAACTTCATTTCTACATGTGTAAAACTTACATAAATCCGATATTAATAAAATACACAATGAAACGAATCCAACAACACCCCTTATAACTATATTATCTCTCACTCCTATTAAATAATGTTAATTTCTAGAATTTATTTTTTAAGTTTGAGCCAATTATTTGCAATAGGGCAAAAAAATAGGGATAGAGGAAATTTTTTGTTGTGGCCTGATTACATTGCTAGATTGCTCATTATGGAGTGTGAATAGGATTTGCATGCATAGCAGTGGCGGATCCAGAATCTTGGTAATGGGGGTACGAAATTAAGTTTAATGAAAAAATTTACAAAATACAAAGTAATATGTGGAGCGTAATAATTTTTTCTTAACTAAATTTCGAGTTAATAAACCATTTAACTATTGTATTAGTATATTTGCGTGTACTATACACCCTATTTTCCGACAACAAGGCTATAATTGAGTAACAAAATATCTTTTTAAAAAGAGATTGTCTAAGCAACCTGTTATGGTAACAATAGACCTCTTTGATCAAAAATACAAATTGGAAAAATAAACAATATCACCTAAGAGCTAGACCTGTTAATATGTTATTGTAACATGTATGTCTCTTTAATCAAAAGCACTACCGTGGAATATATATCATCTAAGAGACCGCCTGAGACCAGTTTTAAAATAGGGGGTCTCTTAGAATTTATTATTTGTACAAAAAGGCGTGCTGATTAATTAGGTTGTTGTGGTAACTACTGATAACAGTACCTCCGAGAACGCCGGTCTCTTTTTGTATCAGTTTTTTTTTTTTTTGGTATAGTTGTAACTCTATGTACCCCCTAGATCCGCCACTGATGCATAGTTGCATACTTCTCATTTAGGTATCACCTGTTTTATTTAGTGCAACACCGTCTACACTTTTCAAACACAGGATTTTATGAGAAGGTTCTTAAAATGAGTTAAATGAGAAGGATTTTATATACATAATTTTTCATGATTGCTAAACGTAACCTCTAGTTACTAATATACACCCCTCCTAAATACCATAAATACCCTTCTAAGCTAAAATCATCTTCACGACATTTTTGCCTGCTTTCCTTTCCACCTTCTTCCACACCTAATTTCCAGAAATTTATACCTTTGTTTATTTGAATTACTCACATAATCAATTAGCGAACAATATTCCGAGATCTAATGAATATGAACACGAATCGGATGAAGTTGGGTGATACACGGAATAGGCTTAATCATTTCATACAATTTGAACAAAATATTAAAAAGTGGTTTTTTTTTTTTGAAGGATGAAAAGTGGTTTTATTGATTCTACACATAATAGATTCGTATGATTCTTATCAAATTCGAAGAGGCTAATGTAAAAATCATTACCCATTGCAAATTCAATGTATTTTAAGTTAAATTAATGCACTCTTGTTATTAGAGATTACTTGAGAGGAAAAAAAAAAATAGTTATTTTCTCCCTACATCTAATAAATGAGTGGAATAGAACTCCCCAACTAAATTTGCCTCATCTCAACGAAAATAATCATAAAAAAACCTTAGTTATGTAATGTATTTACAAATTGAACTCATTTCAACTATATAAATTTCGTTGGGGGCGAATTGTAACTTATATAATGTACGTGTGACTTGGAATAATCAAGTAGAAATGTCAATAAACTAACTTCAAACGAAAATAATCGCTCAACCTACAAATCAAATAATCTTGAAATTATTGATTGAAGGTCTACAAATGATCTTAAAATGATTTGATCGAGTTGAAGCTTATAACTTATTTCAATATCTTTTCAACAAATGGTCATAAACTTGTACATCTATTATATAATTGCAAAGTTTTTTTTTCCAACTTTCATTCGTAGCACTCCAAATTTCAATTCTTGCAATTTTAGCCCTTCTATTTTTTAATTTTTTTTTTTGAAAAAAATAACTAATAACCACCCTTTTTACTTATAACTATCCATATCACTCAATTAAAATCCAGCCCTCTATTTTTTCTTTTTTTTTTAAAAAAAAACCAATAACCACCCTTTAATAACTATCACTTTTACCATTTTTTTCTCTTAAATATATATACTACACATATCCTGTGCAAGAGCATGGTACACTTCTAATTCTGTTTTGTTAGAAATATTGCTAAGAAAGTTTACTTGTTCTGTTTTGTTTTGTTTTGAAGGAAAGTGTTTGTCCCGGATTGGTGGGAAAAGAGAATTTTACTTGATTTAAATGTGTGGGTTTAAATATAGACATTTGAAGTGTTATTCCTTGTGTCCTGAGCTAGAAATAAACTAGGCTGAAGGAATAAGCTAGAAATAAGCTAGAAATAACCACCCTTTTTACTTATAACTATCCATATCACTCAATTAAAATCCAGCCCTCTATTTTTTCATTTTTTTTTTAAAAAAAGAACCAATAACCACCCTTTAATAACTATCACTTCTACCATTTTTTTCTCTTAAATATATATACTACACATATCCCGTGCAAGAGCATGGTACACTTCTAATTCTGTTTTGTTAGAAATATTGCTAAGAAAGTTTACTTGTTCTGTTTTGTTTTGTTTTGAAGGAAAGTGTTTGTCCCGGATTGGTGGGAAAATAGAATTTTACTTGATTTAAATGTGTGGGTTTAAATATAGACATTTGAAGTGTTATTCCTTGTGTCGTGAGCTAGAAATAAACTAGGCTGAGCAAAACTAACCGAAAAATCGATCCGTAACCGTTCCAAAATTATGGTACCCGATCCGAAATTCATAACGGTTTGGGTACCCGTTCCGATAATTTGTTATCGGGTATGGTTATTGGGTATCATTTTAAAAATTAACGTTTACCCGATCCGTTCCGATAAGCATTTTTTTTTTTTGGCTTTTTTTCCCTAGTTAAATCTATTTTTTTTTTAAATCTAAACTTTTACTTTACTTCATAATATTTACTTTATAATATTAATAATTAGTAATTATTAATAATTTGGTCAAAATCATATGATATTGTTGTTAATTAGTGCTAAATTATATCATAATAACTACATAATTAAGTTTAATTATCATCATTGGATATCTTATTGGGTACTCGATAACCGATCCGAAAATCCGGGTACCCGAACTTATCGGTTTGGGTTATTGATATCTCTTTTAGGGATTTTGGTTATCGGGTACCCAAACTGTTAGTACTAACGGTACGGGTACCTATCCCATGCTCACCCCTACAAGTAGAAACCAAGGGGCATCTCCACGCGCACTTTGCCACTAATTTTGAAGGGCAATGCCATCTGAGCTGATTGCACCATAGTCAGGACGAGTTTCCTCCTAAGGCTATATTCTAAATACATCACAGGCTCACAACATTTCCATACATCAAATAAATTGGCCCACATTTTTCATGTATATATCACTACTACAAAAAAGGGATTATAGAACGGTTAAAACAAGCTTTATAGAACGCCTTAGGACCGTTCTTCTGCTAAGCGATGTGTAAAGTTTATAGAACGGTTCAAGTAGGCGTTCTATATATTGATATATAGAGAACGGTTGTTAGTCACAACCGTTCTGTTTTCCTTATTAGAAAATAATGAAGGAAAAAAAGAACTGCCACGCGGGTTCTATATTTCTTCACTAAAGAGAAGTGTCATGTCACATAACTGTTCTCTATTCTCTAATTTAAATAGGCTAATATACGCATATTTTTTTTATATATAGAAATTCAGCATTTTTTTAATTTCGCATATTACACTGTATTTATAGCACCTTTTTAAGGGTCACTTTTTACACCATATATATGATATGAAAAAAAAAAAAAAATCAGAAAACCATAAAACATATGAATTTATTTAATAAACCAACTGATTCATCATTCACTTATATACAATTCACAAAATGAAAAATCGATATACAAAATACTTCAAGTGTAGTCTAAATTTAGAGATATATTCAATTCCACTAGCTCCATTAGTCCATAAGTCCATTCTCCATAGCTTTTGTTTGGAACTTGATCAAAAATGCCAATTTTGATTCAATTATACTTGGTAGTTGTCTCCTCGTATTGAAGAGCTCCTTCAACTTTACAACCTTATACATTCCCTACACCAATAATAGAGTAATTAAATTTAAAAATTCAACTATACAACTACGGAAGTCATATATAACAAAGTCGAACGAATTACGGAAGTTTGATAAGAAGTATTATCCACTAATTTACATCATCAATCAGTAAATCAAATGGAATTGAAGTTACTAGGGGTCGTATATAAAAATAATTTTATTTCTCCTCTAAATTCAACTAATTACAACTCAAGTACATAATACATATTGATACAATTCGATCTGTTCAAATGAAAAAAAATGAACATGATACTTAAACAAAAATGCATGATTCAAAGAAGATCTTTATGATCCATCTATATCCGTATAACCTGTTCATTCAAATAAAAAACAAAAAAAAATATAAATGTAAAAGATGTACTTGTACTGAAAACGAATCAAAAAGTCATCTTCTTATAACAAATTAAAAGGAAACAAAAGAACTAAAAAACTGTAGATCTTCAACCTCATTTCTAAATTAATAAAAAAAAAACACAAAAAAAAAAATTCTTTGATTAAAAGCATAAAAACTCACATTAATCAAATGAACGATCAACGAAAATGAAAATCAAAACGAAAAAAAATAGATGTAGGAATAAAAGAACAGATTGTACATGGTAATTAACAATGAACAAGTTGTACATAAGATTATATTGGGGCATATTTCAACATTAATCGAACAAAATTATTGCAAAATAAGGTAAGATTTCGACAATAATTAACCAAATTCAATTAATCATAGCAAAACTAAGGTAGATTTCTCAAAATAATTATCATCAAATTGAATTGTACGGATACTCAATTACTCACAAGAAGTAAGCCTTCACCGAGTGTGTTTCGCTGGAGTGTTGTTCTATTTTATCGATCTTTCGGCTTGCTTTTAAAGAAGTTCGAACCATTGGAGAAGGTGATAGAGGATATATTGTTGATTGGAGTTAAGGTTAGAGCCATGGAAAACCACTAAGCCGGATCTAAAACGGAGAGAGAAAGAGGAAATTTTTTAATACAGGTAACTGAGGTAATCCATAAACGGCTGTTTGATAATGAACTTGAAGGAAAAAGCGACTGTGGGGAAATAGGGTTTGTCACTTGCCAGTGCTTTATTTTTTTTTATTTATTTTCTAAAAATATTTTTAATCAAAGAGAACGCTTATCTAAACAAGGCGTTCTATGTTTTTAAGTCACATTTTTTTTAAAAAAAAAAACAAATCAAATAGAGCGGTTTATTAGATAGGCGTTCTATATGATTCAACATACACAACTGTCATCTAACATAGGCGTTCTATATATTCCTAGAGATCGCTTATCTAGGATAACCGTTCAATATTGTGCGTTTCATATTCCAGTTTTTGTAGTAGTGTATCTTACCTCCGTTAACAGTTATTTGCAACAAAAGGGGTCTGCGCGGACTCCTAGGCAAAAGTTTTTAATCTTGATTATAAAAAATTAAGGGTATGGGATTAAGTATTAATCCTATCTGAAAAAAAAATAATAAATTAAACAAATCCATAACCACCGATACCCAGAACCACCACCAAAACCACTGGAACCACCAAACCCACCAAAACCCATGACCTAAAACCACCACCGGAACCACCAAACCCACCGGAACCCATGACCCAAAACCACCACCACCATAACCATCGACACCCAACCACGAACCCAACCAAAGTCACCACGAACTAAAACCCAACGAACCACCATGAACCAAAACCCAGAACCACAACGAAATAAAACCACCGAAAACCACCACGAACCAAGCCCAACCAAAACCACCGAGAACCCCCGAAATCTTTCGACTACCACGTACCAAGAACCATTGAAACCCTTCGACGAATTACCAAGAACGACGAAACAAAAACCAATTACCCACCCACGAACAACCTGCGAATCCACCCACAAGTCACCAAATCCAACCACAAATCAAACAAACCACCCACAAATAACCAGATCTAAAACCCACAAATAAGGATGGATTGGAATTTGAAAAGAGATTAGAGATGAAGAAAATGAATTGATCTGAGAGATGAAGGAGGAGAGAGATAGATAATGGGGAGATGATGAGATTAATCTGATTATTAGGGTGGGAAGGGTTGGATAATTAATTTGAATTAAAGGTTATAATGTTTTGTAATTGTGTGTAGTATTATGTACTAATAATTTTTAAGTGAGGGTATTTTAGTCATTTTGCCAAAAAAAGTTACTAAAATAGGAAAGAAATAAGTTTGTTGCAAATAATAGCCCTTAGGGTTATATATAAGCAAGAATTCCTAATTTTATACAATTTCAAGAGTATATTTAATGCTTATCTATGACCCTTATGGCTACATATAACATTACCCTTTTGGTAAATGTTGCAAATAACTATTAACGGAGATAATATATTTTTTTTCCTTCTAATTTTAAATGTGATAAGAAACAAAATGGCTATAGCTATTTTATAAAAAGAAAAAGTTACTCAAAGCTGAAAGCTTATGTCAAAAAAGTTGAGGATGAACCTTTGTGAAGTTCGCTCGATTGAACTTTTCCATGCCTTCATAATCTCTTTTCTATTCCTTTTTTGTCTCAATTATGTTTTTTGTTTTCGGATTTGTTCTCGCATAACATCTATATGTATACTAATGTTATTTCCTGAAAAATAATAATCTATAATTTCCGTATGTAGAAAATAAATTAAATAGATTAATAAATTTGCTGGATATAATCATATAATTAACAAGGTGCGTAAGTTAGAAGCCGCAAAGCTAATGTAAGTAGTCATCAAATCAAGATGCATGTAACTTCATTTTGAGAGAATTTATGAGAGGGAGATAGTTGTATCTCCTTCGTAGCATCTCCTCGTTTATCCTCCATAAGTCAATATAAAAGCTTAATAAAACCCTATGGAGTAGGTGGTTTTAACTAAAACCATATTTAAGAAATTAAGAATTACATGTTTGTTCAATTTCTTTACTTTTATATTCATATTTATATTTTGTCATTTATTTTTGTTGTCTATACTCTACTATAACCAAACACACTACCTAATTAAATTAATCATATAGTTCACTTTAATTTCATATTAAGTTAATAAAATGTATTTGTTTGTGTACGTATTGATTGGAGGGTGAATATAAAATATAAGGTGAATTAATAATACATACTACCTCTGTTTCATATTATTTGCAACGATCAGATATTTTATGTCAAATCGCTGCAAACAATATGAAATAGAGGTAATATTACAACAAACCAATGGACAAAAAGGGTTCATATCTTATTTTTAAAAAAAAAAAATTACAATGTCTTTTCAAGACCTAACAATTTTTTCCCGAATTAAAAAGTGTCAATATTCTGATAAGTTTGTACATGATTCCATGACCCAAAAGTCCAAAACTGTTACAAAAGCTGTTGCATAGTTATCACAACTACACTGCATATTTTTGTGTGAAAAAAAAAAATACAGTACATATTTATCCATGCAAGTATAACATTAAAAATCACTTTAGCTAATACGGTGTACCATGCACATTTTAATACAATTAGCCAAATGTATCATCCTGTAACCGGCGGTTGAAAGCTGGACACTTGATCGGAAGAAATGGGTAGGGTGAACTGCGGTTGACGAGGTGCAAAAGGTAAAGCAACAGGTGTAGGCGGCGATGTTCTTATAGGAGTGGTAATAAGAAATTATGGATTGCATAAAACTGGCGTGAATTGAACCTGGGCTTGAGGGACGGGTTGATATTGAAAACCATCACAACTAAATCGAACAGGTTGAACCATTGATGGATACCCGGAAGGAGTTATTTGAGATACCCAAGGCCCGGATTCGATTCCATGGAACATCCTGGGTTGCATCATTATTTGCGGTGCATATGTATTATGCAGTTGGCTTTGTCCACTTGACATAACCTGAAAACGTAAATGTTGATAACATAAACTGGAATACATCACACATGTATGATAGAGTATAAAACATATTCCTAGCTTTCAACCATTAGCTTCAATATTTGGTTGAGTTAGTTCTTTGACATGGTGTCAAAGCACGTTGAATTATTGGTCCTTTAACAATGTACAAACAAGATTTCTAATTAATTGTCGCAATCAATAGGAAAACATGGAGTATGTAGTACATAGTAGCATTACATTATCACAATGTTTAATTATCCAAGAATAACACTATAATTTATTTATTGTTGTTGACCCTTATGAGGTTTTGATGATGATGGTAAGAATTGAGCAAACTTCCTTTTAATAAGGATTCTATAGTGTTGTGATGTTGGCAGGTTCAGTAAGCGAAGAGGGTTGAAGTAGGAACTGGAACAAAGGAACTTTAGAAGATCCATGAGGACAAGTAAAGAACAGAAGAAGAGTTCCAGCAATGGAACTTCCCGAAGTTTCTCAACGGGAACTTCAAACGGGTTGTAACGACCTGGTTCTGGTGTAATGCTGGGGCAAGGCTTAACAATCAAGGATCAACACAAAGATCAAGATATCAACCGAAGAAGATGAACTTCATAACTTATAGTCGTGTAAAAGATAAGTTTGTTTTCGTAGGATGATGTAAACATATAAAGGATAAATATGCATGGAACCTATTAGAAATCAGATAAAGCTTGGCAAACAAATTAATTCGTAAAAAGTAATTGTTTTATGAAAAAGTACTTAATTGATTTTATCTTATAAAATCTGGTTTAACTTAGTTTTATCTTTTTCATAAAATTCTATCTTTTAACAAAACGAATTTGATAAAATTTGGTTTTTATAAAAACGAAATTAAATCCGTTTGATTTCGGTTTTAAGGAAGATAAGATCAGATTTCTGGTTGATCTATCTTGTTTGCGAAAACCCTAGTTTGAGAAGCTGAGAAACTCCTATAAATATAGAAGTATTTCAGCTTAGCAAAATGAGAGTTTTAAGCGTGAAAACCACTTAATGATTAAGAGTAAGTTTGCCAAAAGGTTTAAGCTTTATCATTTTGATTTCGGGTTTCATGTGTAGCTTTCCATTTATGTGTTAGAGTGTGTCTTTGAGTTGTAATTGGTTTTGGGATGAGATTGTGAATTCTCTTAAATTCACGTTTGAGTGTATGAGTTTGAATTCTCTAAAATTCGAGTGGTAGTCAGTCACCTCGAGTCTGTCTTGGGGTGCACAGTGGGAAAAAGGAACCTGAGTGTGTCTTAGGTCGAGAAAGGAACCTGAGTGTGTCTTGGGTCGAAAAAGGTGCCTGAGTTTGTCTTAGGTCGAAAAAGGTGCCTGAGTTTGTCTTAGGTCTGATAGGATAGGTTCTTATCAATCAGCAAGTGTCTTAGGAGGAACTTGCGAAGCAAAGGTCTGTGTAATAGGTTGTACTAGGAGAGTTGCCTATTATAGTGGAATTTGTTTATAAGTCCCAATAGGGCCGAGGTTTTACTTCCAGTTAGGCACTGGAAGGTTTCCTCGTAAAACTTGTTGTGTGCTTTAAGTTTCTTTATGTTTTTATTGTTTATTTCCGCATAAGTTTCGCGATTGGAACCTACTACCATTCCCCCCCCCCCCCTCTCGTAGTAGTTCATCTAAACTAAAAATTGGTATCAGAGCAGGTTCTCACGAAGTTACAAGCAACCTTGTAGAGAAAACTTCCTGAAGAGATGAATGCTCACGAAAAACTTGAAGAAGGGTATTCTACCCAAAGACCACCAATGTTCAATGGCAAGTTTTATTCATACTGGAAGAATAGAATGGAGATATTCATCAAAGCTGAAAATTACCAAGTATGGAGAGTCATTGAAAGTGGTGACTTCGAGGTAACAAAAACCAATGCAAACAAAGAGGTAATCCCTAAACCAATAGCTGAATTTGATAAAGAAGATTACGAAAAATATGAGTTAAATGCTCTAGCTGTAAAAATCTTGCATTGTGGACTAGGACCTCATGAGCACAATAGAATCATGGGTTGTAAGTCTGCAAAGCAGATTTGGGATTTACTGCAAGTAACACATGAAGGAACGAGTGAAGTTAAACGTTCCAAAATTGATTTATTAATGTCAAAATATGAAAGATTTGAAATGCTACACAAAGAATCCATTCAGGATATGTTCACTAGATTTACTAATATTATCAA